GAAGTGGGAGGGGGGGCAGAGACAAGTCACATGTCAAAATCAGAAGAGGAACAACACCACGACACATCTGAATTGTGACTCTCGCACCTTTTATTTCTTGCCTTTTTTTCCTATAAAAACTCCTCCATAAATTTCACAAATTTAACAAAGTTTAAAAGTCAGGACAAAAACGATCCCATAACTCGTTACAAACATTTCCCCCCCTTCCCGACCCCACCTTTTCAGGATTTTGCCTTGGTAGTTTTGGGCTGGGTGAGCAAAGACCCCCCCCCCCCACACAACTTTTTAATATCCTCTCTATGCCACAATCAGGTATTTAATACCCTTTTTTTTTTGCTTTTGGCAGACAAAAAAGCAGCCAGGGGAAAAAAAATTAACACACCAGCAAGAGGATTAAGTACTCATTTGCTTCCTTGAAGAGTGCAAACTCTTTTGTTCGCCAGGGCTACCACCCACCCCATAAGCCCCCCCCCCCCAATCCCTCCCTACTTCACGCCCAGTCAAATTTTTAATACATATGGAGCCTGTTCAAGGAGGATAATTCAGGCCATTGTGTACTTTGCGCTATAAAAAGAGAGGAAGTCAGCATATATGACATGCACACCTCCTGGAAAATCCTAGCCTGCCAATCCCTCTGCCTCGGAGATCACCCCCCAGGTCTTGCTTCCGTGTACTGGCCAGAATGCAGCCCCGAGTCCTACACACTTGCCTCATTCTTTAACCTAACAATCCTCAGGAGAAGGTCAAATTCTGGGGCCAAAACCCTCTCTATCAAAGCTTGCGTGCAATGGCAGTGTACACGGCAGTCTCAAGTACAACTGATGGGTCACCTGGCGACAGCATTTAACAAGGAAAGCAAGACATTGAGAGGGGTTGTGACTTCACAAAAGAGGACGCGAGACCCACCCCTGAAATGAAGCACTTCTGACTGCTGTTTAACCACATTAATGGACGGAGATGATGCCCCACTGGAACCCACCGTGTGCATCTGCGTAAAACTGCAAAAACTCAACAGAGCCAGTGGGGAAGAGAGCAGAAGAAATGCCAGCCATCCCTGACTTCATTCCTTCCAGTGATGGACACCCCCGATTGCCAGCAATGGAGACCCCGGTAGATGGGAACGCCACTCCACCAGCTCTCTCCATACGACCTCTGACCCCTTCTGCCCAGTACCCCTCATTTTTAAACACACATGCTTAAAGCACATCTCCGTTTCCACATCAATGGTGAATTTAAACGTTTGCTGCTCCGTTTTAATATCAGAGCCGTGAAGGCCAGGACGAGAGATGCGGAGAGAAGAATCCTGGGAAAGGTCCAAGTCTCGCTTTCTACCACCTCCACTAGCCAAGGCCCGGTATGGAAAAGCTGAAAATCGACGTGGCGGTAGAGGATGGAATTGCAAAAGAAAACACTTGGAAGTTTGTGTTTGAAAGAAAAACCAACACTGATGAAAATTATGTTAAGAGCATTAAGATCTAGATTTGAGTCCAGTAGCACCTTAGAAACCAATGAGAATTTCAGGGCACAAGCTTCTGAGAGTCATATCTCTCTTTGTCGGCTTTGACTCCTGAAAGTTCGTACCCCGAAAATTCCGATGGTCTCGGAAGGTGCTACTGGACTCGAATTTATCTCTTCTACTGCAGACCAACACGGCTACCCTCTGAGCCAACTGTTAAAAGGGTGTTCATCTCCAGCCTCCCCTTCGTTTCTGCGTAACAAGAAGTGGGTATACCCCCCCCAAACACCACAAACTTATTTCCATGTTTCTACTGCCATCCACCCCCCCATCCCCAGATCTGCCAACTCAACCTAAGAGAAACACCACCAGCCTTGAAAACATGCCATGGGAGTACACAAACTGTCAGCCCGCCCGAAGTTGTGGTTTCCACCGACGACATCGCAACCACCCTCTTCCCCCCAAGTCAGGGCACCCTGCCCTGGCATTTGTGAACTTGTGCAATAACCCCCCCCCCAACACAAGTGACTGGTCCACAACCATTGACCTACACCAGTCATTTAGTAACACGCCGGCTTGGTTTAAGAACCACCCATTTGGCTAAACTGCTTCTCCTGCCCGGTGGCTTTGAGGCAATTTTTACCTTGAGCCGGGCAAGCGTCCATGTACCGATTTGGCTTGAGTGATTGGAAGCTTCCTCTCTTAACACTGAGCGTACTGGTAATTCTTGTCAAAGACACAAACTCTGAATGAATGCTTGGACCAAAGGGCTACAAGAGGTGGGAGAGTTCGGGTACCTTAACGGATGTCATAAACCTTCATGGCTTATAACAGTGTGTGATCCAGCTCTTGTGGGTCACAAATACAGCCACTAGCCTTGAAGGCACCACAAGATTCCTCTTGGCTGCCCCTTTGGCAACGGTATCCTTTGACATGCTAACCGCTGAATCAAACACAAAGCAAATCAGAGTGTCAACATCCAAGTCTATGCAATATTCAATGCCTGAAGCTGCCTTAGAGGGGATCGGCCCACGGGTCCGTCAAGGTCAGCACTGTCTACTCAGACCGGCAGTGGCTCTCCAGCGGAGGTCTTCAAAACCACAGACAGCCTACGCCTTTAACTGGGGATGCCAGGAATGGCAGCTGGGGCCTTCTGCATGCCAAACAGGTGCTCTGCCACTGAGCCATAACTTGAATCTCCTCCCTAGGATTCCCCCCCCCTTTTTTTTAAATCCCCCTGCCCTCTTACCATGGCTTCAGAACCCCATGCAGCAAAAACTTACATCTGCATAAAGCCACTGGGGCCAAGACATCAAGGAGGTGGTCGCCATCCCTAGTAAAGTTCCTGGTTTTATACAAAACAATTGAAGTGGCGAGGCCAGGTTTCCTCCACTGGAACACTTTCTCGGATTCGTCTTTCCCCAGTTATACCCCAGAAGGGCAAGTGGAAAGGCAGGAAATAGGTGCCAGATTCTAGGGAGGGGTGGAGCTGGAGGGGGGGGAATGTAAAAATAAATAAATGGCAAAGATACCCATTTGAAATGTCAGTCACACCCTTTATCCCTCACCAAGCTCCTTTTTACAATAATTATTCCGATGCTTGCTGCAATGTGGTACCGTCCCATCTCCAACTATTTTGTAGCTACCTATCAAATGCTCGAGAGAGAGAGAGAGAGGCAGACACGGACACACAGACACACTAGATCCACAAACACAGTCGAAGGAAGAGTCTATTACAAAAGAATGGGCAGACGGGGGGCATCGAAGACACCAGGCCCGATGTCCGAGCTACTAGCTGAAGGCCTCCAAGGCTTTCGTTATTTTTTTAAGCGCAAAAGAAAAGGTGGAAGAGTACATGGCTTGGTGACCAAGATGCCAGTGAGGCTGAACTGGTGTTCCTCTGGAGTGGGGGGATCCTTGAAAGCCAGTTCACAAAATACTTTTGAAACAAAGAATCCCACCACCATGTACAAAAGC